CTGGCTGCAGGAGGGAAAAACACCCAACGAGGGTCAACAGGAAAAAGAGTGGGAACTGCTGTGTAGAAGTTTGAAATGCTGGTAGATAGAGGGATCACCTTCCCTGCCCTTTGTGATAGATCATGTCACCGATCGGTATTGTTCCTTGGGGACTCACCTAGCTTCTCACTTTTTGGGTAAGTGTCAGTTTAGCAGAATTAACGTGCTAAGCCTTAGCACGTTCTTACTGTAGCTTTGAACTGTGTTTATGTGGTGTCATTTCTCATGCATGTTTTTCAAGCTTTCTGCACGCCTAGTTCATAATAATCCAGAGGGAAATATAACTGAATGCTGAAAGCTGACTTTGCAGAAAGCATGTTTCTTTTATCAGCAGTTATGTTCTACTGATGCCAACATACTGAATTGTTAAAGAATGCACCCTATTTAATTACAGCAAAGTGATGTCCCAGCAAGCCTTTCTCTGGTAAGTATAATTTGTGTTTTTGTTGTGAATAATTTCCCTAAATATTTTGGCAGTCTGCATGAGGACACTGCTAAGCGACATTGACACACTTTTCCTGTTTGGAGTTGGCTTGTTCTTGTACAGTACGTTTAATCTAATCATCATATCCTGACAAAGCGTGGCATGAATGTGAAACTGTGAGACAGAAATAATTTAGGTTACAAAAACTAGCAGTCTTCTCAACCAGAGATTTCCAGTTGCCGCGGGAGTGTACTGATGTGTGGTTCTTCTCTTCCCACGAAAACACTTTCTTTTCTGCAGAATACCTTTTATCACAGGGATAACTGATGAAATTCAGTGTTTCAGTTGTAGTCACTAAACAGGTATAATGGAGAGGTCATATATATTAAGCCAGACTGAAATATTTTCTTACTTCCTAGCGCCTGTAGTGGTTTGAAATTACTGGAAGAGCAAAGTTTGGGAAAAAATTCAAAGCAAAACTATACAGTGAAAATGCACGTTCTTTTCATTTCAGAATATTTATGTGTCTAGTGAGAAGATACAGGCAAGGAAATCTAAGTTTCTCTAAGTAGTATAAGATTACAAAAAGTCACAGGAGTTGAATGAGGGTGTTGTGCTTTGGCAAGTTTTTATTAATTAAGGAGATGGTGAGAAGGTTTTACAACCAAATATTTCTGTAAATGGATTGAATAGTACATAATCTGAAAGGAATAACCTTCCGTCCTTTCAGGTCGACCCACAGCTCTTACTAGTCCTGTGTGGTGTGGCCATCCAGTCCTGCAGACAGGAAGCCAGTCTGGAGTACCTTTGCCGGATGAATTGATAGTCACTCCGCATCCCCTTGTGAGCCTTGTGCTCGGCTGGTGGTGTGATAATTGCGTACCTCCGTGGGGAGAAGCTGCCTGGAGATCCTGACAGTAACGGTGCGAGTGTGACGTTTCCGAGGCTTCTGCGTTGGAAGCAGGGAGGGAGTGTTTGTCGGCGGAGACGGGCTGGGCCCCGGTAAGCTGCGCTCCTCCAACAGCAGCTTCTGGCGGGGTGGAGGACAAGGCGATGCCTCTGCTGCCGTTCCTCGCCTCGGTGTGAGTCTCTGCCATCTGTTTGGGGTAAAGGGACAGGATGCAGACAAGAAAAGGGAATAGATGGTCCTGGCTTTGAGGCAGGTTGCTCCTGCAAGCAACCAGCAGGACCGTTGTGAGCTGCCAGGAGGACTTTCTGCATGAGTCGCTCCCTGTAGAGCTCACATTAATGTTGCGTGGGTTGTGAGCAGGAGGCACGTGTTGCAACCCCTCACTGCCTCCTCATATAAAATTTTCATGTCAGCTACTACTAAACACCAGCAATCGAAGCTGTTGGATCACAGCCAGCACGGGGTTACACCTTTATTGCTGTACTGGTACGAATGATTAAATGTTGACTTTTTTTTGTGTGTTTACTTGTTCAAGTCCACTAATACTTGAATGAGATTAGTGTGGCTATAGTTGGCCTTTTAACAGAAGCTCAGAACAACTACCAGCTACGCAGAACCTAGGATGCAAGAGAGTGTAATGTGTTACAGTCGATGGGAGAAAGTATTTGATGAAAGGTAGCTTTTGAGCTGTACCACTGCTTAGGAACTGCTGCATCTTGAATGCATCAGTAACTGTAAGATTTCTACGTTATTGTTGAGTCCTATGCCCATAGAAAGCTATTTGGCAAAATGTTACATTATATAATTAAATTATGTGGTAATGTCCATGTATGAAGAAAGGCCTAATATTGTAGATACAGTTTCAAACCGAAGTACTTACTAAGCCCATCCCAGAGTAAAGGCACAGTTGTGCGCGTATCAAGGTACTCATAATGATGCATTTTACTACCGATCTATCTATTGGCAACCTATTTATGTTACAGTTTGGGGCACATTAGGAAGAATGTTTGTCTGTGGCTTGCCAAGTGAATCACTTTGGTTTTTATAACCTCTTGGTGATTTGCCAGGTAAACCTCTGTGCCAAGTCTGGTTTCTCATGTGATCATGAAGTGATACAGGAGGATGCACTGAGGACTTCCCTGGCCATCTCCCCTCAGCACCCTGACAGGGACGTGGCAATTGTCTTGTGCCTTAAAGAGGAAACTTGCAAAGGCATATAGGGCTAAGTCTCATACAGAAATCGCTGAGGTTCCCTTTGAATATCTGACACTTTCCCTTTGCATATCCTTCTTTCAAGCTCAAATAATCAAGCACCTTTTTTAAAGGAATTGCCCAATCCCTGAGCGTGTGTCCTCCTAGGAAATCTTACTTACCTGATGACATTTACTCCCTGTTGCTTCCCTGTCTGTATATTAGCGTCAGTATTTCATTTTCCCCAGAATTATTAGTGTGGAATCAAGTCTTGAACTTGCTTCGGTGGGCAAAATTTGCCATCGTACCTTTGAAACAACGTATGAGTGCTTCTGCAATAGTGGAAGTGGCAAGCGTCAAGTTCAATGTAATTACTGTTTAAACTTTCAGATTCTTTTCACGTGGTCTGGAAAGAAGTAAGGGGGATTGTTCAAACTGATTTCCTGTGGGGTAATTTTCAAGTTGTGGTACTGTTCCGGTGAGAAGCAGCTCCTGTGAATCATTCTGAATCCTCCTGTAAGCGTGATCTGAGGGGCTTGGGGACTTATGTTTAATTTTGATTTTAAAGATTAAAATTAGGTGCAAAGAGGCAGTTGTCTTATGCTCAGGTGTGCACATATACCCATGTGGGACCAGACACCAGAAAATAGTATTTTTATGCAGTAACTTAACTGTCACATGGATTTGAAAATCAACTTTTTACTGCTTTTTTTGGAAAGAAAGCTTTCACATAACGCAGGCGTTGTTTCATTTCTGCATTTAATAGATGCAGAAAACACTTTACATGGTATCGGCCATTGTAAATAATATAAGGACTTCATTCACTTCTAAAACATGGTTGGATGGTAAATTTTACAGGTGGTGCTTTCCCAGACTTCTCTTCTTATTTCCATGTTTCTTACTCATCTTCTTTCAGAAATGATCTTCGCAATGGGACAGTATATCTGGGGTAGAAGTTCTTTAAAAGAAAGAACATGGACTTGTGACTTACCAAGTAAAGCTTTGCAAGACATCTATGCCCCTGTCTGCTGTTTGGTGCTTTATGAAAACCAGCTGTCACCTAGGCTCTTCAGGCTTTTGAAAGTCTGGTGATTTTTGCTTCTTCCCAAAACACTTCATCGCTCTGTCAGTAAATAAACAGAGTGGGTCTCCTCCTATATTTGAGCATTCCTGGACTTGGCACTTATTTTGCTGGAAGACGGAAGTGTGTCTGCAGCGCAGATACTTTATTTGATCCCATGTCAATCATCTACTTGAGTTTATAGGACTTTGTTTTCATTTTTATCCCTTTAGTACTTTTAGAGGTTCTTGGCTCCACCTGAGCTCTAAAAGATGAATGAATCTAACTTATCCAGGCTGCAAAGAATCTTTCCTGGGTGCTTTTGACCACTTCCAGCTACATTACCATGTTTGTCTATGGAAGCACAGAAAGAATACATTTCAAAATCATATATTCCCCTTAATGTGTCTTACTGTGTTCCACTCTTTGCATCAGCCTAATACTGCAGTATAGAAAATGTGGATTAGCCTGCTGTCCAGTAGCATGAAGAAATACCCAGTTGTAGTAGCTGCCCATGCAGAAAAGTCTGCTGAAGAACTGAAATTGCCATTCTTCATTTGTCCTTCCATGCCTCCTCTTCCCTCATTACCTTGCTCTTTTTTTTCCCCTCTCTCTCTCTTTTTAGCTCCTTTATAAAAAAACTAAAGCCTGATGAATTCTTGTTTTTTCTTTTATTTAAGGACAGGGTATGTTAAAAGTAAACATTTAAAATTTTGCAGCCATTTGCTGTTGGCTACATTTGTTTTAATAATGGCACAGAAGCTGAAGCTGTGTGTCGCCAGGGCCCAGGGAAGAGAGTATCTAGAAATAAAAGGAGATTCTGACATCGTGCATGTTTCTCAGACTACGAAACGGTGAAAGTGAAGGTACCGCTGAACATAAAGTTTACCGCTGTTGCTGGGGAATAGCATACGCCGCCTTCGGGAGCGTTGTGAACTCGGCCAGACAGAATGGGTGGAAGGGCAGAAGGTGGGGAATGTCTGCATCCTATTATGAATTGGAGGAAATGGCCGTCTGCCCTCTGTACGCTGGTGGGCTCGGAGCATCCTGCTGGCAGGCTGGTTAGCGCTGTAGGATACTGAACCGAAGGTGGTGAATTGTCAGCTTTGGTGTTTAAAATACCTACTAGGGATGAGAAGAAGTTCTTTAAAAATATGCTGTGGGTTTGCCGATGGCTTTCTTAAACTAACTGGAAACTTTCTGCTTTCTTTCAGGAGCGTTTTTTCTCTGAAAACATTGCTGCTAAAAAGCTCCAGACAGGAGAAGTAAATCCAGTCAGCTTGTCAGGTCACTGGCTCAGTGTAAAAGTGCTTTCATGAGGTAACGTTGGGCCAAGGTCAACTTTTCTTTCTCCTTTGTAAATCTGCAGCCAAGCAATGGGCCAGAAAATCTCAGGGAGCATAAAGTCTGTGGATGTGAGGGAGCCCCCTTATAGACCTGTTAAACGAGAGCTGAGAGGCCCGGATTTTTGCAAGCCGGCGCGACTGGACATGCTGTTGGATATGCCCCCTGCCAACCTGGAGGTCCAGTATAAACATGCGTGGAACAATGAAGATCGCTCCTTAAATATATTTGTAAAGGAAGATGATAAACTGACTTTTCATAGACACCCCGTTGCCCAAAGCACAGATTGCATCCGGGGCAAAGTCGGCTACACGAGAGGCCTGCACGTCTGGCAAATCCACTGGCCCACGAGGCAACGGGGAACTCACGCTGTGGTGGGCGTCTCCACAGCCGAAGCTCCGCTGCACTCGGTGGGATACACGTCGTTGGTGGGTAGCAATAGTGAATCGTGGGGCTGGGATCTGGGACGCAACAAACTCTACCACAATTGTAAAAACCAGCCTGGGGTGACGTATCCTGTCTTTTTGGAACCGGATGAGTCTTTTGTACTCCCAGACTCCTTGCTGGTGGTTTTGGATATGGATGAAGGGACGCTTAGCTTCATGGTAGATGGACAGTATCTTGGAGTGGCCTTCAGGGGACTCAAAGGGAAAAAACTTTACCCCATAGTCAGTGCAGTTTGGGGGCACTGTGAAATTACAATGAGATACATCAACGGACTTGACCGTAAGTGTTACCATATTTCTTCATTACACTGTCTTTCAACTTTTCTCGTGTAGGATTTTTTTTCTTTATCCTTTTGTTGTGAACGGAGTGTGCTGGGGGAGAGGGGACTGTCCGCTGTGAGTAGATTGCATCCCATAGTTACTGCACACAACTAATATCTATTGGTTGTGTCTTGTAACGATCATATGGATTGTAGCAAAATATTTTCCCGTTTGGCAAGTACAGTGGCAAGAAATCTGTGTCCTAAGAAAGCGAACAGACAGACTCAGAAAAAAAGATTTTGAGAAACTTCCTGGGTATATTTAACAGTAAAACTCTTGTTTACTGGAGGATGTGTTTTAAATCTGTGGTTTTCAAATAGGAGTTGTGAATCCTGTAAAAATTTCCTGTAGTAGTGGGAACTCTTACATGCTGTGCATAAACATACTTGAATTCAGGCCAGTAGGCTTTCTTTCCATAGTTGCTTTTCCAGGGCCCTCAGAAGCAGCTGTGGATCCCCAAGAATCTGGGAGCTCAGGTCAATTATTGCTTTCAGCAGTTTTTCTGAAAGAGAGCTCTGTTCCTTAGTTCATTTCAGAAGGTGCTCTCTCAGGGTGTTTTCTTCTCTGGAAATAACGGGTTTTTGGATAAGCGTTAGCTATTTTTGATCTAAAAATACCAAATTAAATAACTGCGTAGTAAGGAGCAGCATATTGCTGCTGTGACCTTGAAGTAGTAGCCCACCAGAAGATAAGCTGCAGAACTGGGTCTTGTCGAGTTCTTCTCACTGCTCGGGAAGACGTGTGCTCTGCCAGGTCCCTACACAGCACAGCGTACGTTCGGTCATGCCCAGTTATCTACGGTCAGCTTACCGGCTGCTGTGAATTGGGGAATGGAAGGCTGAACGAGGCAGAACGTGGAACTTTGTTCTTGTTTAAGACTCTGTTATCTGAGCCATAGGAGGAACCATGAATACATTTAACAAAAATAGACGACTGAACAAAATTTTCATGGTTTTTGGGCTTTATGAATGGGACTAGGTCTCGTAAAAAGAGAATAATAGCAAGTGTACACCTGCCTTTCAATTAGTAATTTCTAAAGGAATTTACTATTCTTTTCAATTAGGATGGGGTGGTCTGATTTTTTTTTTCTGTCAAAAATTAATTCTCTGCTCGTTAGCCTTACATCTGACATACAAAGTAGAAACATAATTGAATAATTCGACCCTGTTCAAGATTACCTTTTCATAAACATCTCTAATAAGCACTGGGGGAAAGAATCTTTATCCATAGAAGCCCTGCAGGTTATTACAGCCAGATGCTAAATGGCAGCTTCCTGAGTGCTTTCGTACAGGGGAATATCGGAGGATCGTAAGTATTTTGCAATTACTCAGACATTGCAAAGAGTGGTGTGCTGACAGCTGCTTTTTTTTTTTTTTTTTTATGGAGGGCGGTGGAGGAGAGATACTGAATATTTGTGTGCGAAAGCAGTTTTTATAATACTGGGAATATCTGCCAAACTAAGCAAAGTACAGCTCGGCTTGGTCCACCACGTCCACACAAGGAATCATTCTGCATTCCTTTTGTCGCCTTCACAGGGCTGCTCAAGGGAGCTCTAGAAAGATGAAAACACAGGAGGAGGATGTGAATGAGTTTGATAGAAATTATAAAATAAAAGGGGCTAAGTAGAGAAGGATAGCTGTGGTCTGTGAGATGGCAGAGAGAAAAATTCCCATCCGGTTTCTCGTGGGATAATTTTGCTGGAAGAGGCAAGATAGCTTCCTAAACTATCCCTGAGAAAGTCAAAGTAGTCATTTTTTTTTAAGTGTGAACTCATGGCTAAGAGTCAATTTGTAAACTAATCTTTTATGTAGGCCTGAGTGTTAATCTGATCATGTGAAGAGGAAGTTTAAAGCCACTTTGCCGCGGGGCAGTTTGACATCCTGGAATCACATCACTTGTTATCGCATGTTCACTGATCCATTACTGTCCTGCAACAAAAACAGCATTCAAGAAACCAAAGTAGCTTGTTTAGCTGGTGCTCTAAAGCAAACACCTTCTCTTCTCTGCTAAAAGTGTTTCTATCCAGCCAGCCCTTGTGTAGCAGTGCAAGTTTGGTCGTGGCACTCTTCATGTCCACTCTTGCAGCACTTAAACAATTATAAAAACCTGTAATACTGTTCTTGTGAAAATCGGAGTAGGTCTTGAAGAACAGTAAGATGCTCATGTTGCATTCACAAATTTAAATACGTTTGAACGTACATATATGTGTGGGGTTTTATTTGTTGTTTGCTTGCTTTGCTACCTTACAGATTTTCTTTTTTTTTTTTTTTTTTTTTCTTTTTCTCCCCCTTCCCTGGAAGTATCTCATACTGCTGACTGCAGCTTTTAGTAGATCTGGCAATAGTAACTCAGCTGTTCTTGAAACTGTGCTGTCAAACAGTGACTTCTAACTTGCTATTTAGTGATTGATTGTTACCGCTCAGAATGCATACCACAGCTTGCAATGGTTGTTTATGTGGTGTCTTACGGAGCAAATGGAGACCTCGACTGCAGGGATTTCTAGTGATTTCAATACTTGCTGTTGAAATGGAAGACCTCTGAATACTTTAAAGGCCCGTGTATTTCAGTTGCCTGGCAAAGAGTGAAAGGCTTGCAAGAATGGAAGAGTGAAAGGATCAAATGATGGGCTTGTGCAGCTGCCGTGAACTTAAACATATGCTGTAGTGGTACAGAGACGACGCAGACTTTGAAGTATGTTAATTACTGCATAGATGGCAGAATCATAGAAGGATAAGGCTGCAGGTCAAAGATCAAGAACCTGTGTGCCCTCCGGAGTCTGGATGTTGCTCCTAGAATAATGCTGTAGTTAAAATCAGTCGTCGTTCTTCCAGCTGCTTCTGACACCCAGAGTACTCTGCTTTCAGAAGCTACTTTGAGCATCGCATGATGATGTGCAGTGGCTTTCACTAGACAGTTTTTCACTCACATTTAAGAGACTCAGAATTGCAAATATTTGTCAGGGTTTGGGAGGGAAGGCAGGGGGACAGGATGGAGAGTGCTCATTATAGGTGCATTGAGTTCTTCCCAGGACAAACTTCTTTGATCGTATGCTATCAGTATTTACCACACTGATGTTTGCCCAGTGCCTAAGTTTTACAAAATTTTACATCAGACTTCTGACTCACTGCCTATTGCAATAATTTAAAAACCCAAATAACATAAATGCAGTATATGTGATTTTTCAGATGCTCTTTTCATCAGGGTATGTGCATGTTTAAAAAAAGCTAGGCTATTTTTATCTGATGTCTGATGGGGAGTCCTGAGGCCTGTTTATAGACTGGAACAGAGCAATAGCAAAACACTTTTGTATAAATGTACATTGCAGATCATGACTGATACATTAGTACTTGTGTGTTTAAACAAAGCGGTGGGAGGACAATATAACAGCGCCGTGGTGGAAAACTTCATCATTGAGTAGGTGAGTTGAGCGCAGTGATTTATTTTGATCCTTAAAAATACCTGACAGAGTAGTCAGTATTTTGACTTCTGGAAGTTGTAAGCATACATTGCAGGTCCGGCTCTGCCTTGTTCTGAATTGGTGTGGAAGAGCAAAGCAGATGGTCTGTATTTGTATATAATAATAATACTAATAAGAGGTGATCCATAGACATAGAATTTGACAGCGCAACTCATAGGTACAAAATTTAGAATTTAATACCTTCCTAGGCGGGGAGAAGGCAGAAGGAGGCTGCAGAAAGATTTTCCAGCCATCCTTGTGTGATAGCGTAGAGTTGGTTGAAATGAAATACTGAGGGCGGGCAGGAGGGTTTGTGGGGCTCTGCTGGCCTTGGGAACCGTCCCACGTGCATGTGTCAGCACAGCACGCTCTCACTAGTGTCGTGAAGAAACATCTGCAGGCATGCATCAGCACTGGCCTTCTGGCCATCTGTAAAAATGCCTGCTGGTAGCGCTTTCAGATGCCTTCACCCTGTAACGTGTACTCTCGCTGAAAGTGCAGTGCTGGCTGCTACAGCTGCTGCCTTGGAGTGAAGCATCTGCTTGGGATATGTTGTGGGGTGCGTCCTAATTAGGGACACTGTCTCCATGTGATCGTGACAATTTTAAAGAAAGCTACAACTGGCCAAACTCTTGCCTAAACTCTTGACTGTTGTGCATTTGCATGAAGGAAGGATAAGTCAGTGTTTAAATGAGCTAAAAAAGTCTTGAAATTGCACGTGAAAGGAAAGAGCTCTGAATTCTCTGTTACGACATGTTGAGTAGACTACGATAACTGAAGATTAAAAAATCACACCCCACTACTGCCAATTTATGTTTCTGGTTTATAAATCCCGAAGCTATTTCTTAGAGATGAGTAAATTTGGCAAGATTTTGGGGTAACGCTGCCCAGCCAACTTCTCAGTAATAATGTCTGATGGAACTTAGTACAGCTACTTTCAAATATTCTATAGCAGACTGTTTATTTCCTTTTGTGTGGTATTTATGGTTCTTTTTGCTGTTTAGGTGCGAAAGAATGCTCCTTGAGCTTGATATTGGATAGCCCATTTGTGGTTCTTGTGCTAAACCTTGCATAACCCTAACACAATTTTGAAAATAAGCCTAATTGTCAAGTTCAGGGAGCTGGAAGCATTTGTCTCAAAAAAGATGATGACTTTACTTACAAATGTAATTTATGGAAAACATTTATGTGTACCAGTTCATATTTTAACCTACAGATCCTTCTTATAGTATTTGGTACTTACCGACAAGGGTCCCTAGGCGCTCTGTCAGCTCTTACTGACCACTGCCCTGCAGCATATAGCCTATTTTTAACATCTGTAACGATTTACATCCCCAAATGAAACAGAAGTATTATTCAAAGTACGTGCTTCGAACTTACCTACAATGAATGAATAGGTGGATTAAAGCAATCATCCAAACAGAAATTCTGGGGTCCTGTTTTTACGCGCCAGCAGCCTGTTCGCCGTGCCTGCAGCGAGCTGGTGCAATCATAAAGCTGAG